TAGTCAGGAACCCTGGCACAGCAGGGCAGCTGCCAAACGGGGTCATGGCAAAAGTAGCTGGGAGCTTCTCCAGAGATATCACACCCACAGCTCTCAAGGGTCATGGCTTAAGGCAAGCTCGGAGGAAGAGGAGAATCACCAAGGCCTTTATGGAACTCAGCAGAGAGGAATTCTTGACTCTTTGAGACTCTGAGTTTGAATAACTCATGCAGCCCCTCAGCCAGGGGCTTCCAATTAAAAGACCAAGAGGTGCCCCAATGCTTCCTTCTAAGTGCTTTGAGTTGCTCTCCTGGTTGATCAGAGTGGGGTGGGGATGGATTGGGGGAGGGCAGAATCCAGCCATCCTTCAGGGAATTTTTTGATGGTGTAGATGGAAAGAGCTATGACTATTCAACAGGTACAACATGGATATGATTTTTCCAATAAATTTAACATGAAGACAATCTGTTCTTTAAGAGGATAAGGTAGAGTAATATTTTACAAACACTACTAAGGACACCTGGAGGTTTTAAATAATAATAAGAGTTGCTTAGTCCAGCAGTCCCACCTGTTGAATATTAAAGGCTTACCTCAATTACTTTTGCTGCTCCATCAGTCATGGCTAAAGGGGCAGTGTAGCAAGCAGAAGATACTGCAAAAAGATACAGCTTGGCAGCCTGATGAACACGGCTATGAAAAGAGACATATATGAAACTATATTTGGCAGTGTCCTGCCACTCCCAGATTTAGAAGATTACTGGGGAAAGGACTTCCCAAGAAGCAATGGTAAAGAGGTTGGTTACTGGAGAACCCAAAAGTGCAATGGAATGAGGAGCTGATACAAGAACCATCTTTTCAGAATTCCTCTCTGGAGAAGGAGAGGACTCGGGATCACCAACACCCGCTCCAGGCAGCAGCTCCCCACAGTGAGAATGTATGACTGGCCTCCAGAAGATTTAGCGCAGCGGTCCCCAACTTTTATGGCTCTGCAAATTGGCAGTAGTGGGGGAGGAGAGGGATGGTTCTGCATATAAATAATTATAATAATTTATCTTATGGATGGTTAAGAATTCTATAAAAAGAGGAAGATTTTGAAATTAAATATGATAAACCTTCCTGTGGGAATAATATTGTGGATTAGAAAGAAACATGATAAAAGGACTTTGAAGGTTGGACATAGAACCAAAACAAACTAAAGATTATTACGGAAAGGGAAATCACCCACAAATACAGAATGGAGCAAAATATTCTAACTTTGGAAGAATTCAAAAAGATATTTACAAACAATGCACCCAGGAATTACTCTTACTATTGTCTGCAATTATAAAAATGGTTTTAGAAGAGAAAGAAGTTTAATTGGACAAAACAAAGACCACAGCAGTACCTCCAACAGGAATATCTCCTTTTATAACCTTCAGCCACAAGGCTCTCCTCAGCAGAGATGTCCTTCAGCCTCTTCCAGGCTGGGCAGGTGGTCACTTGGTCCACACGCTGTCCCCAGGCATCAAAACGCAATAATCTAGGAGGGTTTAGCTCACACTCACGGCCCAAGAAGTCAATTTCATCTCTCAAACGAGCTCCAAACCGTTCCAGGTCAATGTTCACCTCGGCAAACACCTACAAGGTCAATGCATAAACTGCAATTCCAATTCTCTCATTGTGGGAATATCCAGATGTGTTTAATTATCCCAGACAACTCCAAATTATCTATCTATCTATCTATCTATCTATCTATCTATCTATCTATCTATCTATCTATCTATCTATCTATCTATCTATCTATCTATCTATCATCTATCTCTATCAGAATAGAGCTGGAAGGGACTTTGGAGGTCTTCTAGTCCAACCCCCTGCTCAAGCAGAAGACCCAATACCATCTCAGACAAAGGGCTGTCCAATCTTTTCTTAAAAACCTCCAGTTATGAAGCGCCTACAACTTCTGAAGGCAAACTGCTCCATTGGATAATTGGTTAAGAAAGGGATTTTAGTCCAGGACAAACCTGCTCATATACAAGATTAAGGTAGCTCTCATCTAGTTGGCATATCACATGAACATCAAAATCAAGACAATAATTTATCCTATTTCGTCACTTTCCCTTCCCGAAAGAACAACGCGTTCTATCTCTTAATCCTCTGCATTAAAAGGGAATGAGCTGTGGCAGGAAGCCAAATGGGAGATGCTGGGAGAAAAAAGCCACCACCTGCTCCTAAGCCAACTCAGTGCCTTTTGCGCAACTTTAGTGCTTGCAAAATTGAGCAAAAGGTGTTGTTTTTTTTACTATAATGATAACAAGGCACAGACCCATTACTCAATCACAAAAGAACATTTACATTGACTTAAAGAGTTTTACCTACATTTCTAACAAGCAGTTTTGGATAATGAAGGAAGAAGTTCGAGAAGCGCTGCTCTAGTCCCAGGAACAAGGAAGGGTCCCCATCCCCACCGGGTCCCCACCTCCACCCCCAGTATTTTCATTTCCCCCTCTTCCTGTTTTTTGCCCCTGCAAGCACAGATGGGGACCTCTCCCAAATCTGAGATGCAGAGAATTGGAGCTTTCCGCCCTCGTTGGTGCTGTCATTAGAGCCACCAGGCTGGAAGGGGGCTCCGAGGTCTTCTAGACCACCCCCTCGCCCGGACGCGCGGCGGTTCCCAACCGGGTGCGCATTTCACTCTCCAGTCCCTACCCGGTTAAGGCACCTGGGCCGGGGGCGCAGGAGCAAAAGCGTAGGGAGGGAGGGGGGCAGCAAAAGAGGCGGAGAAGCGCCGAGCCAGCCTGGCAACCCAGCCCTGCAGCCCCGACCGTCGAGCCCCCTCCCCGTCTTGCGCCCGCCTCCCTCGGGACCCACCTGGGCAGGTAGGTGGGCTCTCAGGTAAGCCTGGAGCAAGGGGTCTTCCAGGTAGGGGTTCCCGATCCGAGGCGCGTCCATGGTTGCAAGCCTGGCAGAGGGATCCTCCAGCGCTCCGCAGCCTCCCGCTTCCCGCAAGGGCTCCTAACCCTCCCGGCCCTCGCAGGGCGTTCCCCGCACGGACTCGGGGGCAGGAGGGGCGGTTCTCCTCGTGTAGGAAAAGCGCAACTGTTGGAAGCAGAGCAGGTCGGATTGCGAGTCTTTGGGCAGCTCTTCCACCCCCGAGGGCGTTGCGAGGGCGGCTCTGAGCCGGGTCCAAGGGAGGAGAACCGGTCGGTCGGGGACGCCAAGCGGGGGGGCAGGCACTTCCTCGGGCTCTTTGTTGCAGGGAGCCCCCCAATTCTTCACCCCTCCATCTTCCAAAAAAACAAAAAACAAAAAAACCGGACCCCGGAAACTTTTCCAATCTTCAAAAAGTGAAAATAAAAATAAAAAATGGATCTGCAGGCCCATCAGCCTGGCATCAATCCCTGGGGAAATCCAGGAAAACCTAATCAAGAGACGGGGTCTGCAAAAACAGAGAAATGAGCAAAGCGATGGCTAAAGCGGAACGTAGATTTGTTTAGCCCAAAGGTGTTTTTTTTCCAAAGAGGCAACTGGATTTTTTTGTTTTTTTTCTTTGAAGATGTTTCGCTTCTTATCCGAGAAGCTTCTTCGGCTCTGAATGGATAGTGGGGAATGGGAGGATTTATACTCCTTGTGGACCGCTGGTCATTTGCTTTCTTTCAAGAGAGGCGTTGAGGCCTCTTGGAGGTTTGGCTGTGTCCATCAACTCTCTAAAAGAAGGCAAATATAAATCCTTCCATTCTCCCCCCATCCAGTCAGAGCTGAAGAAGCATAATAATAATAATAATAATAATAATAATAATAATAATAATAATAATAATAATAATAATAATAATAATAATAATAATAATAATAATAATAAAAAAAGTTGGAAGGGATCTTGGAGGTCATCTAGTCCAACCCCCTGCTCAGGCAGGAAACCCTATACCATTTTGGACAAATGGCTGTCCAGTCTCTTCTTAAAAACTTCCAGTGTTGGTGCACCCACAACTTCTGGAGGCAGGTTGTTCCACTGGTTAATTGTTCTAACTGCCAGGAAGTTTCTCCTTATTTCTAGGTTGCTTCTCTCCTTGATTAATTTCCATCCATCGGATGAGAAGCGAAATGTCTTCAAAGAAAAAACAAGAAAGTCTTCTTTGAAAAAAAAACACCACCTGAACAACTGAAAATAGATGCAGAAGTGGGGATGTCAGAGTGATAGAGAGGGTGGGGGGAAACCCAGAATTTTGAGCTGAGAATAGAACTTTATTTGATGGTTAGCCAACAAGGTTGGCTAATTAAGAGAAGAGTTCCACAGAGCATGTGCAAGCAGCTCAGATGAGGGAGAGAATCGAGGAGGTCAGGGTGAGGAAGGAAACCCCCAGAATTTTACCAATCGGGCCACTTTTTGCCTCCCTAATAAAATAGAAAGAGTTTGGATGTTGAAAAGAAAGAGAGAGAAAAGCTGCCGGCCCAGTCAGTGCCCAACTCCCAACTACAGGAAGAAATGTGTTATTTTGAGCTACTTTAATCTTTCTATTGGGAGGTTTATAGGCTGCTCTGAGCCAGGGGGGAGAGCAGGAGAGGCAATAAATAAAAAATAAAAGAAAAAGAATTAAAAAGGGCGAAAAGAGCTTCCCCAGGCACGACTGAGGGAAGAATGAGGTGCCTGAGGGGAAAATGATGGCGGATCAAAATGGCCTCCCTCTTCCCGCCCAAATCCCCTCAGAGCCTTTTGAAAAGTTTTATTCTTGTTTTCTTTATTTTATTATTCATACTAAATAGATATTCAAAGGAGATTTTCTCTACCTTTGTCTGCCCCTTAAATTATTGTTTAAAAGGGAGCCCTTTGTTCTTCAGTTCTCTATTACTTAAATTATTACTATGCAGTACATTTTCTCTTCTATTGGCTATTCCTTAAATTTTTCGGAAAAGCCTTTAAAATTAAAATTAGGTTTAAAATTAAAATGAAAAAAACAAACTAGGGCATAAAATGCATTGATTTAAAAAACAAAATGAAAAACATTTTATTTAAAATTTATTCACAGATGTGTTTTTAACCATGATATCCTTTTTTGTCTGTTATATGTAGTCATTTGTTTTGTCCTTAGCATGTTTTGAAACAAACGTTTAAACATTTCAAATATAATACAAACAAACAACCGCCAAACTGAAACAATATATTTTAAATGTTATGACAATTGTAAAATTTTGTTTATCAGAAGTTGTGAGCTGGACTGGATGCTTTCAAGAAGAGACGGGACAGCCACTTCTCAGGGTCTCTTATTTGAGCAGGGGGTTGGACTAGATGACCTCCAAGGTCCCTTCCAACGCTGTTATTTTGTTTTATTTTCGATCTATAATGCCCTTTTTTACTTCCTTCTGTTACATTTTATCCAGCCATCTATTTTTCCCCTTAAATGTTTTATAATAAAAATTTTAAAGGTTAAAAAAAAAGAGTTAAAGGCAAAAAATGCAACAAAAAAGAGCAATGCATAAAATGCAGAGTTTGAAAGGAGAAAAATTCAGAGATATTTCAGAGGCAGAATATGAAAAATAGGAAGATGCTGATGGCAATTTGTGCTCATCACAGATGATCAGATCAAAGGATAAGTACAAGGTACATGCACATTGTCTGAATGTAAAAATTATATCAAAAATAGATCTGTCTCTTCTTCCTTTAGGTGGTGACCAAAAACGCAGCTCTCTAAATATGGCTACTGCCCAAATCATGCACATCGGCCAGAAGCATAAAACCTTGAAGGTATAAATGGTTAGGAAAGAAAATTTGGGGATTTGTTTTTGAATTTGCTCTCTTAACAGATATGCAAATCATTTTTGTCTGATACAGGAAACAGCCCTCTTTCCAAGCCGAATTGCTTCTGAGCAAGAGTCCCTGGTTCTGGTGAAAAGGCTGCTTGCCGTTTCAATTTCCTGCATCAGTTACCTGCGAGGTCTCTTCCCAGAAAGCTCTTATGGAACCTGCTATTTAGAGGGTAACCACGTTTGTTGCCTTAACTCCATAACTGAGATTGCAACCTCCCTTTTGGCAAGCCTCCAGAGCTGTCTCCAGTGTGGTGGCCCGAACCTGTCTCACACAAAATAGCCAAAGCATTTTGAAGATCCAACGTGCTAAATTTATTAGCAGGCAAAAAGTAAAACAATGTCCAGGTACTCCTCAACTAGCAACCGTTCATTTAGTGACCGTTCGAAATTACAATGCCACTGAAAACAGTGACTTATCATCTTTCATGACTGTTGCAATGCAATGATCAAAATTTGGATGCTTGGCAACTGACTTGTATTTATGATCGTTGCAGTATCCCGGGGTCATGTGATCACTCTTTGTGACCTTCTGACAAGCAAAATCAATGGGGAAACCAGATTCACTTAATAGCTGTGTTACTCACTTAACAACTGCAGATATGAAGGCTGGTTTGGTATAATAAAATAAAAAGTCAAAAGACAATAATTTAAAAAGGCAACAATTATCCACAGCCTATCAAGTGAGTATAATACCTGTATAAGGCTGTCATTAAAACTATCATTTCAATGCATTAAAAAGTAATTGCATAATTCATAGTTTCACAATGGTCAGTCTTTGCAGCACCTGAAAATGAACCTGATAAAACATTGGTTAATTCTAGATCATTATGTACTTCTTTTTCCAGACATATGTTTAAAAATCCTCCGAGAAGATAAAAGTTGCCAGGGATCTCTCCAGGTAGTCAAATGGTAAGAGTGAAAAAAGAAGGCCAGAATACAGTACTGAGCACCTGTCAGTATACTTTAAATATACAGCATTAGTTAATGATTGTGCAAAGCCAGAGATATTGTCTTTACTATTAAATATTATCTGGTTTAAATGTTGCATTTCAGTTTTTTTATTTTATTAGTGATCAGCTGTTAATTGCACCTGGCAGCTTAGAAATTTTTTGTATCAACAGATTTTGATGTTTACTCATGTATATTTCTTCTTTGATAGGATCCAGGGATGTTTCGATGCACTGGAAAAGAACTATGTAAGTTGTAATTAAACTCACATTGAAAGTGTCTTTGATGCAGTGTGATTTCATCTCAAATTTTCAGACTAAAAAAGTCATCTTGTTCTTTTGCTGTGAATGAATTTCCACACAAAAGCAATTCCATGCAAAGCTATATGCTGAAAACTTTCAAATACTTAACTTTGATATTTTGTCTTTGACTATAGAAGTGTCATTAAATGGCATATTATTAACATTGCCTGATGCTTGAGACCCGAAAGTATTATATGCCTTATATCCCTGTGTAGAATGTATAATTTTGTGCTGGGTAGGGATTAAGTTGTATGCAAAGATCACAACTTGTTATAATTATGAAAGATTTTACCAGAGAGACTGAAAATGTCAGTAAATTTTAAGATGAATATGAATATGATCCATGGTCTTCCCAATCCATATCTAATCAAGAAAAGATAAAATTAAAAAGATTTTTTAATTTTGAAAAAAGGTTGAGGGATTGGATCCTTGGAAGAGCAGCTGAAATATGCAAAATAGTGATTTAAGTTGGGAATTTTCTTCTGGTATAGAAAAATCATCTTTAGACAGAGGGAAACACAACTGAAAAAGAAAAAAATAATCAACCCAAGCTTCTGTCTTTGTAATGAATCTAAATGGCCACTGGGTGTCAGTAATGTTTCTTGCAATGCATCCGAGTCCTTAAATTCTTGAAATTCTTGATGGGGAAATGACATCTATTGCAGAAGTAGGTCTATCCCATTGTGAGGAGGCAGGAGAAATATTTCCTATCCTTTTCCTTAGCATGGAAGGAAGCATTAACACCTCTCCTTTTACCTTGCAGCCTGAGGTCTGATCAACCTTCCAGCAACTTCAAATAAAAATTAAAAGATATTAGGGTTTTAGATTTAATCCCCAAAGTTGCTTTGAAGTATGAATATAATGTTTGTCTGCAACACTTTAAAACATTTGTGTCTGTCTGCCCTGTGAAAAAGCTAAATGTTTAAAAATATATTTTAAATTGTGGTGGACAGGTATTGCATTCAGATTAATGGCTGTGATTGAAAAGCAATGATGGGCATATTTTAAATAAATTGCAGATTTTGAACAGTCTCTTTCTTTCAATTTTGCAGCTACATATGGCAGTTTTGGCAGTAAGTACTATGTACATATTTCTTCCTTCCTTCTCTAATCAATGGAAATAGAAAAAAGGAGAAGAAATAGAGATGTGCAAAAAACTCTTGCCTATGTCCTCAGACGGTATCCTTTTTATGATGCCCCCAAATATGCTCTGATCTCCCAGTTTTAAAGCTGGGTTGTTTTAAACCCTTCTCACTCTAGGAGGCAGAGCTAAAACATTCATAATGCTCCTTAGAGTAGGAAAGCATCGTTTTTCCCTTCTAGTTATTCTAGTTATAGTTATATGGTTATTAGTGACTTGTTCTCCAAAGCACCTGAGGGCAGGGCAAGAAGCAATAGGTGGAAAGTCATTAAACTCATTTCCTGACGGAGAGAACAATCAGTGGAACAGTTTGCCTCCATCACCATTGTACCTGAGCCCATCTGCCTGGCTGCTGAGCATTCTCTTTCTATCTTTCCTTCCACCTTTCCCAGCAATTTGCTTTGACAGTTAGTAGTTCAGATTCTTGTAGGTGGCTTAAACTTGCAATAAATCCTTATATTCATTTGAATTGCCCGGGTTTCCCAATTTCCACACTTGATAAAGTTCAACACGAGTCAATCAATCAAAGCACATGAGTGATTATATTTCTGCTTGAATTTGACAATCTGGGATACTGTGCTCATTGTTTTCATGAAAGTTATACATTTGGGTGTGTGGAAGGAGTGCATTGCTTTGACACAGTTGCTTCACAAAGAGTTAATACCTCCCACTAGGGGAAAAAAGCAAAAATGAAGTACTAATGCCAGGAAAGATTATTTCTCTTCCAACTCTTCTTTTTTCTATTGGAAAGATAAAACCTTCTTTCACTAGTGGAACAATTGGACAAAACCTCAAAGTAACACAAAATGGTTTGGTGAGACAAATTGCATCATATTACCATCTTAGCTAAATAGATCGTGTTATCTCCCTTCTGCAGAACCCCTCACTGAAATTAAATGTAGCCACACACTTCTGCTATTAGAGATGTTTTAAAACAAATTTCTTGTGTGTTGGAAGAGTTGATGAATTGACCACAGTTATCTATGTAGGTGGTGAACAATTCTCTGGATAAGAGTTTGGCTTATGGAAAAATTTACATAATTTCTCCAAATATAGACACACACTTCTCATCATTTTATAAATTTGCTCAGTTTATATAACTAGTTATATATGCAGGAAGAATGACAAAAAGAAACATTCCTGCAGTTATGATTATCAGTCTGTGATCAAACGAAGCTGTGGTTTGGCTTTATTTTATTATGATAGTTCACTGAAGAGCCATATTAATTTTGTCTGCTTTCTTGAAACAGATCTATACTAATCCCAAAGACCCTGAGGTAAGAGGTACAAGCTGTAAACCACAAGCAATATAGACATAATTTTTTCACTTCATATTTAAGTCAGCCAGGATTCGTCTGATTAGTTGCCCTGATAATGATGCAGATCAAATATATAAATTCCCTTTTGTATCATCATTACATCTATTGAATCACACATTTTGCTTGCCTCATTCAATGTGGGCCACTTCACACTTTTTCCATCCTCCTTCAGACAATTTTTTGTCCAAACCTCTAATTATCTTTGTGCATTAAAGATACAAAAAGTTTCCAATGGATGGAAACTGATCAAGGAGAGAATCAACCTAGAACTAAGGAGAAATTTCCTGACAGTGAGAAGAGTGAGAATCAGAAACTGTGGGTGTTTCATCACTGGAGGTTTTAAGAAGAGAAAATGGACAGTCATTAGTCCGGAATAGTAGGGTCTCCTGCTTGAGCAGGGGGTTGGACTAGAAGACCTCTAAGGTCCCTTCCAACTCTGTTCTGTTATTTTGATAATTATTACACTATCTTTAAGAGAAAGTTTGATATTAAGTTTATGCTGTAGAAACGATATTAGATTATTTCCTATTCAATGTCTTTGCCTATCTATAGGCCTGTCTCTGTTCTTATTATGCTGCACTTTTTTTTCTGTCATGTTTCTATATTTTATAATTGACTGAAAGAATTGTAAACTTTTCTGAGTAATAATAGGATCAATGATTGAATATAAATTTGTATTTGAATATAAAATAAGTACTTCAGTTTTCTCTTTAAAAAAGCAAAACAAGATCAAGTTCTGTTTCCTGTTCAATCCTTAGCGCTTGACAGAATTCTATCAGTTTAAATTCAAATACTCAAAGAATGGACCTCAGATGGACTTTGCTAGGTAACTTTCTCGTTCTTTAATTTCTGGAAACAGCAGACACTTTGTATTAAATGTCTCATGAGTGGAAACTATTGTAAGGAGCACCTATTCTGACTTCTTTAATTTTTAATATTTTTCTTATGTAAGTACAGCCTCTAATGTATGTCTATTAACAAATCCATTTTTTTTTCAGAACTATGGAAAGTGATTACTATAGCAAATTGCTTCTGAAGGAACAAACCTTGTTAAACACAGTTGCTTCCCAGTCATTGTGCATCTAATCAGTTTAAAATCACAATAATAGTTCCAAGGGCATGTTGGAAACTGGCAGGTTGATTAGGAAATCTCAGCATAGACCTAAAAGGAACATTTTTCCATCTGGTGGTACAATTCATGTGGAAATATATTCTAATTTTGAAGCACTTTTTAGTATTAATAGTAGTAATTTTGGGACTTGGGGAACAAAAAAAAATTAGACATGTGGTTTCACACAGAGACATAAGTTCAGTAGTCCAACAAAAGAGTATTTATAATCTTTTTGTGTGCTTGGAGATGAGCCCTGGTGCATCATAGTGTCAATTCACTGTTAATGACCCAGTTTATAATTCTAGACAATTGCCAAACACCAATGTGCCTTCATTGCCCTATTTATCTTATTGAATAAAAGGAGTCTACAGCTTTGTCCTCTCCTTCCAGTAAAATGAGTCAGTGGGTGCCCCATATTTGCCCTAATGTCATGGCTAGTGTTTAGTTTTTACTATTTCGGCTTACACTGTAACTGAGAAGTGGTACTCTAATCCTGACAAACGTCTAGTTGTGGAATATACACATCTGACTTACTCTGACTTAATTAATGTATCATCCTATTTGTGGCAAATCCATCTGGATACTCTAGCTGTCTCCAACAAGTCTTTTTCAGTAGGGCGTCCTTCTGGCATTGGATCAATGTAGCATTGGTTTAGGTATTTAACATTGGACTCAAAGCGACTTTACTTAGCGACCAAAATACTTTTGGATGGCACATTTTGTTTGGATATGTGCCTTCTTGTCCCATTTTTAGGATGGTTAATCATTTAGTGTCCAGTGAAGTCATTTGTTTTGTTCTATTAATGTCTCTAAGTTATTGTGAGCAGCTTATTCTGGGGAATACTGTAAAGTTGGCACTCAGGCAGCATCACAGTACGATTCTATTTAATTTCACCATTAATTACAATCACCATTCTTTAATTGCACTCATAAGGAAATGAGGGGAACGGGAACCCAGTCATACATCTTTCAAATTATTTCCCCCATTCTGTGAAACACATTGCCATGTGAGGTGTGGGAGGCTTGCAAAAGAAGATCTTGAATTCATTTATTTATTTTTATTCTGCAGAGCATATGGTTGCTGCTGCTGCTGCTGCTGCTGCTACTAGAGCTGCCTCAGTTAGGCTAAAAGGACTGAATATTGTTTTTAATGGTTGCTATTATATTACCCTACTTGCAAATAGCTTTTGTGGAAGTGGGCCAGCCTATAAATAACTGATCAAATGTAAATCTGTATTTGAATACAGGTAGAGTCCTCAGCTTACGATAGTTTGTTTAATATTTTAGGAATGAAATTGCTATCTTAAGCAATTAAAGTTTAAGGCAGTCATTTAGCTCTTAACATTTCTTATTTATCCCAATATGCAAAAAGAGCCCAAATTCTTAGCCTCATCCATTCAAGGAAGCCTCCGGGATTTACAAAATCTATGCTGGCAGGCTGCATGTACATTCTTAGTTTAAGCTTTTTTAACATTTGTGTTGTTTTCCTGGTAGTTCTCAAGTCAGCTTTCACAATGGAACAACTAGCGATGAAATTAAAAAAGCCAGCATCCTATTGATCCGCAAATTATATATATTGATGCAGCATCTTGGACCACTCCCTAACGATATTACTTTGACCATGAAACTGTTCTATTACAAAGATGGTAAGTGGCAAGATTTCCTATCCGTTCCGGCTTCCACTTAGGACAAAACCCAACCCAGAGATGTTAGAAGTTGCCTTGAAATGAGTCTCAAGACTGGGAGCTGGCAACCCAACTAGAACTAAAGGTGGTAATCAGTAATAAAGCAGAGACCAGATCCTTGCTGTTTGTATGTGTGTGCGCTCGTGATTGCGTGGAGGTGAGATTGAAAATCCTAGCGCAGGACTTGTGAACCTTGAAATGGGAAATAGTGCCCTCACCACTGGTTCTGCTAAAAAACAGCTCTATCGTTTCCTCTCCCTGTTGTTTGCATTCAAGTTGTTCTCTCGAGGAACAAGAATTTACATTTTTCTCCTTCCCCTTCCTCTTCTTTTCCTTCCCTGTTGTATTTTCTAGACAAGATAATCTCTGTCCATAACTTTGTTATTTTTATTAATCTAAAAACTCATTATGGGAATGATAGATATTTAGCCACTCAGCCTAGTTTCTTGTTCTAGGGGCAATACCCGTTGCTCCAGATTTCACACCCGCTTCCTTTGCAGTCACGCCCATTGATTACCAGCCTCATGGTTTCAAGGAAGGCGACAGCTCAGATGGTCTCCTTTTTGATGGTGATCCCGTGAACCTCAAAGTAGGATCTGTTTCCACTGGATTCCATGTGTTGAAAGTAAGGGTGACAACAGACAGCAAAAGGATGGGGATGCTGGAGAACAATCTGGTGGAAGAGAATGGTCCCACTGAAATATCCCACCAAGGTTTAGATTGTGATGATGATGAAGAAGAAGAGGACAGCACTAAAGTACCAGAACAGGTTACATTGTCTTTTTCACAAAAGTTGGATAATAAAACACCTGCAAGCAAAGAACGTAGTTCAGAGAGCACCAAGAATTCCATACTTCAGTCCTGAGCTACAGCTCTTCTCTTCGATTGTTATTTCAGGGGGTTTTCTTAGTGAGAAAAAATTGGAAGAGGTGATGCTGTTTGCATCTTTTTGAGCTCCTGGGAAGTAAGGTGGCTCATCAATCTAGTAAATAAATAATTTGTTAGCTATGGGAAAAAGTTAATATTTGACTTCTGGTGAAGTGGAAAAGAGCTTCTGGTAACTTTTGTAAAAAGCATATTGTCCCCCAGGAAAAGGATAAAATTTGTCTATTATTATTCCTCCTCTCTTAGAGCAGGATATGACTCTTATTTTCATGCTCTACCTCTGGGCCATAACAGCAAAATGAAGAAAGCACATCCTCCAATTTGATTAGAAGGCATAGGTGAAAATGTACCTGTTTTTGTGCAGGGGAAAAAAATGTGTCCCACTTTAGTTATTTTTACCCAGAAAAAAAGTCCCTCTGGAGTTGTCCTTGCAGTAGTTATTCCAGTCACATATCTGCACATGCACAAAATTTCCCCCAGATAACAAATGCTGACACAAATCAGTAACATTGACTGAATCTCATTTGTGCGACATTGCCAATGAGCAAGGAAGGGGTTTTTTTTTTGTCTATGATTTTCTGTAAATGAATAAAGGTGGAATCCTCTCTGAAAGGGAAACTTCTCCTGCAGGGAACTGTTAGTGAAAGTACATTTTAAGTTTCTAATGGAAAATACATATCATTCTCATTTCTCACTCAGTGGCCAAGTTGATCTGGAGAAAGTGATGATGGTTAAACCATTAGAAAACTGATAGTAAAATCTACCTATTTTCTCCCCTGTGGTTATTCTAACAGCTTTTAATTTCCCTCATTACTTTCACTTTTATAGCAAGACTTTCAATTGTGGTACATTCAATCGGTGGATTAACCAAGTTCATACATCATAATGTATCAGGTAGTTAATTGAGCAATACCTTTTATTGTCAGTTAGGCAAATAAGACCGTTGCATCTTCCTTCAACCGAAATGAAAGAAATAGAACATTACATTGTGAATTGTTTTGCAGAGGAAGTTTATGGCTGCTTACATGGATAAAAACAGGATGTTTGAAGAAAATGCAGCGTCCCAGCACATGCCCCCTTTGAATGCAGATGTAACAGGTATATCGATCTAAAACATACATTATGTGTACATCCCAGAGGCATTGTCTGTCATTAATTGGACATTAATTGGACGTTGGATTTATATGATGTAGTTTGCTTTTGAGCTACAGATCACCCTCAACCTATGACCACAATTGAGCCAAAATTTCCATTTTTAAGCAAGACAGTGAGTTTTCCAACCTTTTTTTTAACCACAGTTGTTAAGTGAATAACTGCAGCTGTTAAAATGGTTGTTAAGTGAATCTGGTTTCCCCTTTGACTTTGCTTGTCAGAAGGTCGCAAAAGGTGATCGCATGCCCCCCCCCAGATACTGCAACCGTCATAAATGTGAGTCACTTGCCAAGCATCTGAGTTTTGATCATTTATTTCAGAAACAATCGGAAAGGATGGAGCTGAAGAGGCAGAGAGAGAACGCGGTACTAAGACGTCTCACAAAGTGAGCATCCCAGAGCTTTGTGCTGGACAAGAATCTAAGTGAAACCTGTGTCTGCAAGTTAAACATTTAAAAGTCGGACATAATCTGAGCCTTTTGTCTATTTCCGACTTCTGAAATCGTGGCCTCGGTTTGCCTGGTAGAGTAGAAATGATGATCTGGTATTTTGTTTGAAGTAGTGGCTGAGTAGGTTTCTGGGCTGCTTGTTCCCTTAAGCCCCGCTCCTTGCTTAAAAATAGGCACTTTTCTTGAGTCAGCAATCCAGATTTGCTGAGTCATTCACTTAACAACAGTCCTCATTAAAATACCATGACACTGTGCCCTTCTCCAGAAATGCCAATTAATGGCTTATATCACAGTTTCGTGTACATTTGCAAGAGAACATTCCATCAGCAAAGAATGGATGTGAGCCCATTGTCTCTTCTACCTCTTTGGTGCCCAAACTGTATCTTTATAGCAACAACAATTTTTCAGTTCGCTGTTAGATTTTTTTTTCATGGGGAAACTGCAGAGATATTGGACTGGTAGGCTTAAATGATCCTGTGGCTGATTTCATGGAAAAAAGGAAATCAGGCCACTAGGCAAAAAGCAGCTTTTTTTTTTTTTGTCTGGAAAGGCTATTACTTTATGAATGATTCATTAATTCTGCTACTTAGCAGAGGGACTTTCCCTACCTATTGTCTCACTGGGAAATAGGTAAGCACAATTATTGAGCAGCACGTCGCTCATTGGAATCCATGCGATGGCAATTCAAAAAAACCCACAACTTGACACATCGTGGGTGAGATATTTGGATTTAGATTGTGCCAAATACCGCTAAATGTAGGCAAAGGAAGCTAAAGAATGTATGGGGGTGTGATTCGGTCTCTTTCTTTGCAGTTTACTGTACAACTAAATTAAGATGACTTGGCTTCCTGAACTAACCCCCTTTCTGAATTTGCACAATGCATTAAACCATAAACTATTGGATATGTCTAATTTAATTAAAAGAAGGGCTAGAGGTGATATGATAGCAATATTCCAGTATCTAAGGGGGTATTACAAAGAAGAGGGAGTCAAGCTATTTGCAAAAGCGCCTGAAGGCAGGACAAGAAACAATAGATGGAAACTAATCAAGGAGAGAAGCAACCTAGAACTAAGGAGAAATTTCCTGAGAGTGAGGACAATTACCCTGTGGAACGACTTGCCTCCAGAAGTTGTGGGTGTTCCAACACTGGAGGTTTTTAAGAAGAGATTGGACAAGCATTTGTGTGAAATGATGTAGGATCTCCTGCTTAAGAGGGGGTTGGACTAGAAGACCTCCAAGGTCCCTTCCAACTCTGTTATTCAGTTATTTTCTCCTAAAGGTCTGTTTTTCCACATCGTGCTTTGCAATAAAAATCAAATGTGTACAAAATTGGCAGTAAAATTAGCAGCTTGTGCACACGCAGAACTAAATCTGTAACTGAGCTAGTTAAGTATGTGATGTGAGTCCAGTTTAGTATTCCAAGATTTTACTTTAAGAGCATGCAATTTCAAAACAGTAAAAGAGAAAGAATACATCATCAAGGAATCACAGAGCTGTAAGGAACCTTAGAGGTTTCCAAGTTCCCTGCTCAGCACAGGGCCCACTATAGCATCTCTGAGAAACCTCCAGAATAGGAAAACTCACCATTTTATGTGACAGCTTATTTCACTTGCTGTTTCAGATATCTAGCCAAGCCTTGTATTTTTAGCCTATTGGTTTTGATCTGCCTTCAACGATGATAGAGAACAATATCTGAAGACATTTAGATATCTGAAGACTTGTATCTCCCCTCAGTTATCTCAGTCTGTTTTTCATGCATCATGATTTCCAGTCCCTTCACAAATGTAATAGAACTTCCAGAATTCATTCCATTTTCTAACTCATCTTTTTGAACTGCGGTGCTCAGACTTGAATACAATAAAACAGGGGCCAAAGCAGCTCAAAGCAGAACGTGACAATCACTACTTGTGCTTGGGTAATCTTTACTCTGTCCCACCATTTTTCTGCTGCAGAGGAAGGGGCATTTCTGCTTGAAACATCCCAGTTAGCGTATGCTTGGAAACTTATAAGATGAAATGTAATTGTAGGTGATGGGGGAGGGATAATGGAGTGGAGAAACATTGGGCAAAGAAAACATTAAATGCTGGAATGCAATTGCACTCATTATTATGTGTTACGTTGATTGTTCCGATCATGAAGGAACTGTGACTTAAATCAGTTTATTTTTCAACCTACTATTCTTTTAATAATTCTGTACTATTAGTTTAATATTGTTTTATCAAAGAGCATCTTAAAGCTTCAACTTGTACTGTATTTTGGATATATTAGCTTGCCATTATGTGGGATTAACTCAGTAATATAGCCACAGACTGCAAGCATCCTGAGTAACCACTGTTGCAGAATTTACCATATTAGTTTTTGGTTTAATTTCCTTTTCTCCCAGGTCCAAGAAAAACGTTCTTCTAAAGACTCAGTGAAAACCAGAATGGTAACCACATCCTTAGTTCCTACTTCTCTTTTTCTCCTATTTTGTTAAATTTGCCCAGTCCTGAAATCATTAACGTATTAGACATTGCCGTTGATTAGTACCTAGAAATATGGAGCAAAGACAGGAAATGATGCTATCAGGATATGATCTATTGGTATAGCAGGATGCCAGTTCATTTGACTAGGTATTATGAAATACAGAATTAAAACATGATTTCTACTTTTGACAGCAAGTCGCACATAAACTCTGGTTGACCCTGCAAATTTAATTTTGCCTGCAGCTTAATGGCTCTCCTCAATCCATTTTTGTTATCCTTTGATTAATTTGAAATTGATTACAGTATACGCTTTAATATGTTAACACCATTTGTGAGGTTTTTAACTGCAAGCTTGCAATTCTTGAAAAAATGAAGCCTGTATAGATTTTATTCGTTTGTTTGTTTGTTTAATTTACGTGCCACCCATCTCCCCTACAAAGTGACTCTGGGCAGCATAAAAATTGAGAAGAGGTTAGATTTGAGCTTTGAGATGAGAACAGTGTGACGTTAAGTAGCAGGATAATGAAGAAATTAGGGGAGACAAGATTGCAAGTCTTTATATGCACCTTAACAGCTTTTACAAATTGTCATTTGCCTGCCCATAGAACATATGCCTGGCCTCTTAAATTTAGTAACTGCCCAAATGTCTTTTTATTTTTAAAACAACGATCATTACATTTTCCTGGCTTTCATTTTAGAGATGCCCCACCCATTAAAAGAAACTGAATTGTCTAGGATCCCAAACAAAGTATAATTTGCTATTGTTGGGGAAATGTTGAGCCTCTCTTCAATGTTAGTTTTCCAGTTCTTGCCCGTCCACCCTTCAGCATGGTAGAAGTATGACAGGGAAAATATATAGTACCAGACTGGGTGGGGAGTCTTTTCCATCCTCCTCTAGGAAACTCTACCATCTCCTCATCCCTAATATTGGTCTTGGCAGTTCCCAAAGGCCAGAGGGTGGGTCGTGATCTCCTCTCTTGTCTCCATTCAAGGGAAGTGCAGAAGGAACATCTGTCTGTGAGAAGGCAGATAGCAGATCTCCAGAAGATGGAAATGCCTTTCTTGCCATGTCACTTTTCAATGGACATGCTTATATGGAAAGAATTCCACTGAATTTTTTCATTTCCCTTTTGTGTTTTGCCTTACTGTATTTGGTAAAAAAAATAAATGTGAGCCTTTTAAAACATTTCAGTTTTCCACATAAAGTTCTGGTGTTTCCTCAATGTTCCCCTGTCCTTGATATATCTAGTCTATCATGGTAAGGGTAGATCTAGAAGATCAGTTAATTGGTGACGGCACATCACGGGCAAGGCCACTCTTAATTTTATTTTTATTCTAAGAATGTTGTTTGCTGTCTCTTTCATACTTCTTTCTTTCATTTGTATAAGATAAACGTAAACTGTATTAGCATGATTCCCTTATCCTTGTACCGAGTCCAGCAATCCACTTTTGTGAATGAAGGGCAGTATTGAAAATTTCAAAATGAAACAGAATGAGTAAATATTAATCTGAATTCTTGTATTAAATGTTCTCTTTGGTGGTTCTTGCAGACATGGCAAATGGACTTTGCTTCCAGCCAAGAAAACACGGGCACACCAAAGAAGAAGAAAAAGGAAGTCAGCACAACACTTGATTTGATTCTTGCCCCTCAAAAGTTATGACAACTTCGGAAGCTGTAGCTGTGGCTATAATGCACCTGGACAGTAGTTTCTGATTTCTTACCTATTTTGGATAAATTTCTACAGACATCATATATTTAGGACAATGTTGAGCCCAGTTAGACTAGGGAAAAAGGGACTGCTATTAGCCCAGCTGCCTTGAAGCTATATAAGCAAACTGATTCTGCCATTTGCAAAAGTATTTCCCATCCTTGTCTTTGATAAAATTTCTGTCGGTGTAGCAAGAATATATCAACCTGTTGGTTAACACTTTAGAAGCTTAGAAATACAGCTAAACTGTAGTACGGCACCTTTGTATCATCGTGCTTCCCTGGAAAACAAAATTTCAGAGATGATTGTTGTGGATTATTTTACATGGAGGAGAATGCATTGGAGATGCTGCCTACGTGTTCTGTGTGTTCCCCCAGTTTTCTCTTTATTTTCAAATAAATGCAAAAGAACCATATGTATAGATCTCATTTTTAACCGCAGAATGGGTTTCATTAATAATTGCATTTCTTGGTGGTGTTACCCAGTAGGGTATGTGGAACCACCAGTTATCAAAAACATCAGTGCTAATTTAAATAGCTATCAGTACTTCTAATTTGATTAAGCTAAGCAAGAACCCAGAAAAAAAAAGTCATTTCCTCATTTTGCATGGCTAGACTTATCTTGAATCTCATCTTAGTCATTTCTAGAAAACATTTCATTTCCCTGTAATGGTGGTTTTTTTTCTAGGTACTCTTGCTTCTTTTCACCTTTTTTTGGCGGGGGGGGGGAGAGAGTTGCTCTTTCATGTACTTTCAGTATATTTGTAATGCGTACTGCTCCATAGGGCCAAGCACACGATATTGTTGCAAAACTTCCAGAGACTTTTGGTGCAAAACTTTGTGATTTCCCCCTTCCCGTTTGTAAATGATGGAACTGATCTTCTAGTGTGAGAGATAAAATCTAGCAGGAAATGTTTGTCAGTTCTGGTTAAAAAATGGTGATAGCTTTAAACGATAGCTTTAAGTTATTCACTAAAAACAGATGTAAATTGATTGATTGTATCTAGCAGCTCTTATTTATGTGATTGATGGCTGTTTTGTTTATTACATTGATGTCAACTCTGTATCCTAACGCAGGCCATGCCTAAAGTGCATATGGTTTCTTCTTGCATCTTGTAAAGATGGATATTGGGATTTCTCTCACACTACTGGATAGCCATTTTGCAAAGAAACCAAACAAAGTCAAGTGAATATAAACAAATTCTCTCATATTCTGTGTTTTGTTTCAGCAAATGCAGCTTTGGAAATAGAGAATCTTCTACTAAGATGCCATAAAAATTGCTGTGGCACATACGGCTTTAAGTCTATTACCATCATAATAGCAGCTTCATCTCTCATTCCCTATCATTGGACTTGCTGAGGCCATCTCATCTTTATCTGCAAATCAAAATCTTCTACATTTTTTCTAATTTCTCTAATATTTAGAGAAATTCTTTCCCTGATAGATATAAATATTGCCTCCCATCTCTCAGATTTTAGCATTAAAATACTTTAAAAAAAAATACATTGACAGGGCAAGTGGTTTACAGAGTCAGCATATTTCTCCCAACTATCTGGGTCCTCATTTTACCGACCTCGGAAGGATGGAAGACTGAGTCAACCTTGAGCCGGTGAGAATCAAGCTGCTGGCAGTGGGCAGAATTAGCCTGCAGTACTGCATTCTAACCACTGCACCATGAGGGCTCCGTAGCAAGTTTGGCTCTGTTCTGTTCAGGTTTTGGAGAGTTATCCTGCTGATGGGCAGACACAGTCCCAAGACCCTTTATGTAGTTCCTTTCCAAACATTCAGCTGGGTTACAAAGAATAAAAAGGGCTGAGTTATGTGTGATTGATTGTATCCTACAGTACAGGGCTGCAATAATCCAGATTCCCCTGGAGGGCAGCAGTGAGAAATAGAAACCATTTTGTGGTTCCCTGGAATTCTGCAGCCCAGGTATAACAGACCCATTAAAGGTAAGTGCTGTCTCTTAGAACTGTTATTCTAAGAGACTTGGAAGGGAGCTTGGAGGTTTCTAGTCCAACCCCCTGCTCAAGCAGGAGACCCTATACCATTCCAGACAAATGGTTATGTAGTTTATTCTTGAAAACCTCCAGGGATGGAGCACCCATAACTCTGGTAGACAAGCTACTCCATTGATCAATCATTCTCACTGTCAAGCAATTGCTCCTTAATTCTAAGTTGGATCTCCCTTTGATGATCTTCCATCCATTACTTCTTGTCTTGTTGCTTATGTTCTGGGTAAGTGAGAAAGGCAGCAGGGAAAACTGTGAGGTGTAACCCAGAATCGAAATATTTTTCATTTCAGCTCTTGACCAACTTGTCACCTTAACAGAGGCAATGCAAAGTTTTTTGAGTGAGGCAAGTCATAGCCTCCTGTACCTTATTTCAAGAAACTGCTAAGCGAGGGGAATTCTCACACGAACCCTGCCTTTCTGGTATGCCTTACAGACACGGAATACACCTGTCTTCACCGAGGTCTCTTACTCACCTCACCAGCCAGGAATCACTCCTTGCGCTAAAGCCACACTGCTCTTCCGGAAAAGACACCCAACGCAAGCCACTTCCTTATGCTTCAACCTGATCTCCAGTTTTCATAACAGAGCTACTGGGCAAGATGTGTGTAGGCAGCCGTGACCGTGTGATGTGGTTCTAGACTTACAGTAATGATTTCACTTTCCTCACTTGCTTTAGTCTTTTCCTTTGAGGTGAAATGGCCTGTTCCTCTCAACTGGCAACTATAGGTTATTTATTTAACAAAGGTTCAAAATTACAATGGCCTCAGAAAAAGTGACTTATGACCTATACTTACCTCCATCACACCAGTCTCGCAGTTTTGTAATTGCAATTGGGATGCTTGGCAACTGACTTGCACTTACTGTAGTGTCCTGCAGTCATGTGATTGCAATTTAACCTTTTTTTTTGGCCAATTTCCAGCAACATTTGGGGTGCTGGATTCGCTTCATGACTGCATAAGCACTAAATAACCACAGGGATTCAATTATCAAACTGTTATAACATTTGATCTGACTTAATTTACAGTCCCAATGAGTTTCAGTAGAAATTCCAGTACATAAGTCGAGGACTATTACTCCTCGTGCATGAGCTCAGAGGAGATCAGTCCAGGATTACAGTTACTGCTTTTCTTTTCATTACAGGGCAAAGCAGGGGACTGTACCGAGCAGAAAACGGTTTCACTGTGCCAAAATTCCCTGCTCTGCAGAGCCAAATCTCATCTGATATGTCTGGTCAATGGAGTTTTGACCTTTCTAATTTGCGGTGAGTAAGAAAAGTTCCAGAGCATCATGCAGCTCCTTGCATAGTTCATTCAGTGATGAAGTAGGAGACAAAGGGCCTGTGGCTTCACCCACTTAGTTCTCACCTCCAAACTCAGCCAGGCATCATTGGGCAAAAGGGGTGATTCACTTCTCGACAATCCCTTTCTTCTGCTACGGTTTCCCATGATCTCATTGCGCTCACAAGGTAGCATTCATTAGGGCAGCACCTGGGTCTTTTCAGGAAGCTTCCCCCCCCCCAAATGTTCAAAGGGTTCAAGAAGTGAGAAAATAGGTCTCCGTAAAAAGAGCTGATTGGAGTTGGCCGGCATCCAAACTGAAATAAATAAATCTTTATTTTAAAGCAAGAGCTGGCTCTTTTCTTCAAGGTTATTAGGGGGCCTCATTCCTTAATTTTCAGCTCAAAACAATACTTAATACTAAGGCAAAGTGGACTATAATCTATCCATTCAGTAACCAAGCTACCCTCCTATTATGATGGAAGAATTCAAAGGCAGTTTGTTGGTACTTTTTTTGTGTAAGGATTAAACATTTGTCGTATCCAAGATATTAATATCCTTACAGTTCAGTCCAAAGCTAGTCATGAGAAAGTCTACATATTTGCAGTTATTGGAAGGACCTGTCCAACTAGTCCTCGATTTACGACCACAATGGAGACCAGAATTTCTATTGGTAAGCAAGGCAGTTATTAAGGGAGTCATGCCAGATTTTACAACCTATTTTGCCATGGTTGTTAAGTGAATCAGTGCAGACAAGTGAATCATGCGGTCATTAAGTGACTCTGGCTTCCCCCGTTGACTTTGCTTGTCAGAGGCTATTTGGGAAGGTTGAAAATGGTGGTCACATGACCCCAAGATGCTGCAACCATCATAAATACATGCCTGTCACCAGGGGCCTGAATTTTGATCACATGACTGTGGTAATGCTGCAACAGGCATCATTGTGAGGACCGGCCTCTTTTTTCAGTGCTGTTATAACTTTGAATAGTTACTAAACAAGTGGTGGTAATTTGAGGACTACCTGTCATTATTACTTGAAAAGTCTGCTTTGGTGGAAAGCAAGTATACCACATCTCAAGGACCTGAAATGTACTGACTCACACAAATAATTCCTGGAGATGGATTCAGACTTTATTCCCATTTCTTCTTATAAGGCCATTTGATATTATGAGAATAATACCCATTTAATCTTGTTCTCCACTCTTTGTTGTATACATTTCTCTGGTGACCTGAAGGCTTGGAAAAAGGGTGTTTGCTTTTAGCAAATAATTTATAGACAGAAATCTGCAGGTTTTTCTTAGCACGGCATTGCTAGATGAAGATAGGGTCTGTACATTGGGGCTTAAAATCTCAGAAGTAAGAGCAGATATGGTTTGCCTTAACTATTACACAAAATAAGCTGCTTCACAGTTTTAGCCGTGCAATATCTCTCTTCTCTTTTTTTCCAGAAGTCCCTGAAGCTACAGACTCAGCATAATTTTGCCGCAGATATCGGAAATTACTTAAAACCAACATTCTTTTTGGGCACCGGAAGGAAGACTCAGTAAGTACATTGCCCATTATTTACCCAACAGAACTAAAAAGAATTAAATCACATTTGGAATACTGTGTCCAGTTTTGGTCACCACAATACAAAAGACATCTTGAGACTCTGAAAAAAGTGCAGAGAAGAGCAACAAAGATGATTAGGGGACTGGAGGCTAAAACATATGAAGAACGGCTGCAGGAATTAGGTATGTCTAGTCTAGTGCAAAGAAGGACCAGGGGTGTCAGGATAGCAGTGTTCCAATATCTAAGGGGCTGCCACAAAGAAGAGGGGGTCAACCTATTTTCCAAAGCACCAGAAGAAGGCAAGATGAGAAACAATGGATGGAAATTAATCAGTAGAACGGCTTGCCTCCAGACGTTGTGGGTGCTCCATCACTGGAGGTTTTCAAGAAGAGATTGGACAGCCATTTGTCCATAATGATATAGGGTCTCCTGCTTGAGCAGGGGGTTGGATTGGAAGACCTCCAAGGTCCCTTCCAATCTTATTATTCTATGTTCTGTGTTCTAAGCCTAAGAAATGAATCTCTGGAGACAGTAATAAATCTC